AAATAATCTGATTATAAATGCTCATTTACAAAAGAAACCTTTTTTCTCCAAACAAACCACTCAGTAAATTTGAAGTAAAATAAAAATACACTTTGACTCTTATGGCGTAACAACAGACAGCAATGGCAATGAGACAAACAGACACAGTGATATCTGTACAAAAAATATATCGATATCAGGCACATGATGAAGTATGTAAAATTCCTGGCTAAACCTTTTCTTCAGTTGTGCAGGTGCACAACTGCAATTAAAAATGAAATAAGGGTGCACTACGATTTTATTACAATTAAAATAAAATAAGGTTTTCATGAAAGGGTGGATTGATAAGGCCTAGAATTCAATGTTATCACACCACACTTTTCACTTCCTTGTTACAAATACTGAAATGCTCACATTTGTCTGAATCAACTCTAAATTTAACCACCAACTTGTTAATTTGCAAAGAAACATTCTGGCCAATATAAGGGGTAATTTCATATATAACACATTAAAAATATATATTTTGGTAATATACGGTATGTACATATACAATACACATTTGCAAATTTATATTGAAAGACCATAAAGATAAAAAGATATTGACACTTAAGACATGTTGTTTACCAAACCCTCAAGATATCTCATTCTCAATATATAGTATGCCCCCTTTTTTCACAAGAGCTCAAGAGGAGCCCCAGATCCATTTGAAGAAAAACAGAGAGTGAAAAATGAAGCAAAAATATATTTACTAATTCTACTTCTTCTAAATCTCTGGTGGTAAAAAGTGATAAATCTAGCTTTATGTGTTAATCATGGAAAGATTTAAAATTCATGTCTTGCTGTTATGGGAAAATTTTGGTATTTAGTATTGAAGGTTTCAGCTCTATTAGTGATGAAAGTATTAAAAAAAACAACCCTCTTGGATAATATTTGCACATTTTTAATACTAACAAAAATTAGATTTCACTAAAGGGGCATTATGAGATGTGGTGTTATTTAACTGACACATTTTGTCCTCAAAATCAAGTATATTTTTACACAATACTTGGTAATGAAGGTTTTGCAAATTACTTTCTAAAAAATACAGTTTTATCATGTTTCCTTACTGTGCCCTGTCACCAAATCTTGTCGCTATTCATGGATGTAAATAAATTAATTTTTTAATGGCTATATGCTGAAATGTTACAAAAACAATGGACAAGCAATTCTTCAGCTTGCTTACTTTTAATAAAATAAATGAATTTTAAATACATATATGTATTGAGAATGAGTGTATACAAGTATTAAAAATAGTTACCAGTGTCAGACACAATTATGTTTACCCCCAAGTAAATTGTTTTTTAAACCAAGGAAGTAGGTGTTTCTACTTCCTTGTTCTACCAAACTTCTCACTTTCTGTAATGCTCAAGCAAAAATCGCATTCAGACAAATCATATAAAACTGATTCACATATACAACAAGTCAACATATGACCACCAGGGAATTTAGTTCTTGAGGTGTAATTGATTTTCCTTGTACATTTTATATATTTTACTGTCCACTTAGACCCCATTCCCATAGATTTTAGATGGATCTATCCCTGTGGGGAGTCTCACTAGATTGCTGTCAGCTTAGCTGGCTTAAGCGTCTGTCCCGCCTACTAAAAGCTGTAAGGGGGTAATTAACCATGGTGCGCACTCGGCTGACTGCAATTTAGCGTGAACCCCCAGGGAGTGAGGCCAATCTAAATCTCTGGATCTATCTAAACCTCTGGGAATGCACCCTTAGAGTGGTCTCATTGTGCTCCAAACATCTAAACCATAGGGGAATTCAGTTGGGTTCCTGTTTTATGTTTTAGCTATGATCCAGTCAAATTTTGAAATTTGTCTGAACACTGCCTTCCTGGCCCCAGCAGAAGATGGACTATGAAACTATTTCGCAGCAATAATATATTGTCAATTAAAATGGAAGTTGACTACATTCGCATTTCCTGTTGGAGACAAATTGTATAGCTACCAGCAAGCAGAGGGTGGGTTATGGGCATGGATGTCCCCATTAGGTAGGGGCCTGGGTAATTCTAAAAATATTCAACTCAACCTGAATGCAGAAAGCCCTCTAAATATGAAGTTGAGAGATTTATACTAGTAATATGTCCTCAAAGGGTTTAATTCTCAAACCCAGGGATCAGCCGATTATCAGAAGATATCATAAAAATAAGGAATGAGGGAGACTTTGAAGAGCCAAGCTTTGCCCAGTAGAGCGTGTTGGGTTATATGCTGCATGCCTGACAATTTGCAGCTTTGTAAGCAGCATTGCCCAGTGAAATGCAGCAGTGGATACTTTCTCTTTTTTTTTCTATATTAATTTCTAAAAAAACAGATTTATCCTTGATGACCTTCGAAAACAATTGTTTCCAAAAATTTGTCTGTCTGTCTGTTAGTAAGTTGGTCTGTAAATAAACACTCTACAGGCCGCAATTTCGATCATATCACTTCCATGTCTGACCCCGCTCCCCCCCCCCCAACTTGTTACATCTTACTTATCACAGATATATATAAAATATTCTTGTCGACTTGTCGACAGATAGGAAGTCATAGATTTATGAGCTTTCATTTAAGTATCTATAGTACCACATCTGGATCCGCTTTTATTTTCCGTCTGTTTTTTCTTCGCTTTTATTGTCAGTTATTGTTTTCACAAGTTCACAAGTGAGAGTGATTTTTCATTTATATATCTATTATTTTTTTAAATCTATTTACAGCTTGTTCTGTTTAGTGATTTTAAAGGAGCATGTTCCTGGCTTGATACTGAAACTTTCTAAGACTGCTCTGCTCTACCCTCTCCCCCAACTCTGGGGTTTAAACGTGACACATCATATTTAACAATGGCAATCTTTTAATATTTCAAACACTAATCTTTGTCTGATTAGATATGGTGGCACATCAAAACTGACTTGACTGTAAGGGTAAGCTTCACAATTTATGTAAAAAAATATAATGAATGATGTCATAAAGTTATTTTTGATTACATTGATGCAAGTCCTTATTAGGCAAAAATCGTGTTAATTTATTTCCCAAAGATTGAGGAAGGAAAGACCTTATGTTATGCTCTCTGCATCTACTGATATTGAAGAATGTTTCCGGATGACAAATACATATCCTGGCTTTAAATTACAAGGAAACTCTTTTATCAAACCAAAGTAAATCAAATCATCTCATGAAGAATATTAGTGTAAAAATTGAAATTGCAGACCAGAAATGGAGAATTCCTTGAGCAAAAATTATAAGTTGTGACAAAACATTTGTCAATTTTATGTAAAAAAAAACATTCTCATGGATAAAAATCTAAAAGAGAATGAGCAAAATAACATTTTCATTTAGTTCCCTTGTATTAATCATCTGGGTAACATTCATTTATAAAAGTACAGTGTAACAGTCCTGAACAGAATATTAATGACCCAGCCTCCATGACCTGATGTGGCCACTTCTCGCAGCACTGAAACAATAGGACAATAACATTTATGTTACACAGACAACAGAGGCACTGTGGGGACTGGTACTAGACCAAATTTATTATTCAGATCCAGTTCCAGACACATAATTACTTGAATAATTCTGGTGGGGGTTTACAGTCTAGTAGACATAGTAATGCAGTTTTAACCCTTCTGCAGATTTTTATTTTTCCAACAATAATTCCTTTTTAGTTATCTTATTATTATTTGTGTCATTTCATTTTTGTCATATCCCTGCAGGAAATAATTTCAAAAATATTTATTGTGGGCACCGCATTATGAACTGCGAAAAATATGGACAGCTTTCATTTGTGTCTTGCTGGTTACATATTACTTAAATTCTATCCAAAACCACCAACTGTAAAGCCTTAGTCCCAACCGAACGTAAGGGCTGCTATGTGTGGTCTACGGCCAAATAAAATGGGAGTTCGTGCATGAGGAGCACGTCCATCGTGCGACTTTTGGAGGACGCAAACAGCACGTAGAAACTTTTCACCAATTACTTGATTTCTTCCCTGCCATCTAGCAATGTCCTAGCCGGACGCAAGGAACCTAAAAACCGTGCGTCCAAAATGTAGTTGGGACCTAGGCTTAAGCTACTATTCTTCCTGCGTATTAGTATGGGAGTAACGTGTGCTTAATAGTCTCCAGCACATACAAAATGCACCAAAAGGAAGGTGAGAGAAAGGACTTGCAGTTCACAGTTTATAATGCAGTACTCACAACAAGTATTTTTACGATTGCACCTTGAAATCGTGGTTTAAGCCATTTAATCTCTGATTGCAATCATAAATCTTTGGCTTAAAAGGTCAATAATTTTTTTATATATAAATTCATATTTTTAAAGGTATCCTATCCAGGATTTTTGTGCCATATTGAATTTCCTCAAGAAAGCAATTTTTTCCTTCTCACAAACCATCGATCCCACCATCTCTGCCCTTGGATTGGATATTTCATACCATTTACAATAAAATAATTTTGTTCTAAATGTTACCTTAGAATTAAGATTGTCATGCATTTTCCTGACATTTCACAAAATTTGATACATTAAAAAAATCAAAACCTTATTCAGTGATAAATGCTACATATTTAAAAATTTTATTGGCAGATTCATTCGTCTTTATATTCATAAATAAATAATAAATATTAATAAAAAAAAACATGTAGTTGACATCTACAAATATATACCCTTCAGCACATCACATATTAAACCACTGAATACTTCACACATTCCTAAATTTAATGTGCATACAGTACAAGATTGTATCCTGACTGCAGCACTATACTGAACACGAATATAGTTAATGAATAGCCTATAAAGTTCTGCTTTGGTCACAGTCACTTAGATCTCTGATTATAAAACTACACACATTTATCATCTTTTCCAACCAAAACACAGTTTTCAATGCAATGATACATAAGAATAATACACAAAAAGGAAAACTGTTCAAATGTTAATTTCTTAAATGAACAATTTTAGAACTGCTCACAAAATGAAACAGCATCTTAAAAACTGTAAAAATAATCATGTTGGAAATGCAAGAAAATATTTTTTAAACCAAGTAATAAGACCAAATATGTATCAAAATGGGGAAAATCTGACATTGCTTTACATGAGGCTGGGGCACTGTTATGTTGCCATACATGACTAGAAAACCTGGGAGAATTTCTGTGAGGTGGGGTTAACTTTTCAAAGAAAAAGGGTGAAACCCTATGCACTGTAAACGCTATCTTAGAAAGCAATTACAAAGTGACGTGCAAGCAGATGATCCACATTGTTAAGTAAGAAGACACTGAAATTATGCAACATCTCTGTGTAAACAGGTTACATATACAACACAAATACTGTCACCACATCCAAGCAGAATTTGAACTCCTGACAAAACACCTACTTGTATTTTCAGTTTACTATACATTGTCTAACTTTCTAACTGACAAAAAACTGAAGCCAACATGCTTCAGTTGTTATTCTGAGGCTGCCAGACAGTTTTTATTTCAAAAAAAAAAATCAGTTTATAAATGAAACAAAGATTTCACTCTAGCAGAGCTGTCATTAAACTTTTTACATAATACTCTTCAAGCTTAGAATTTTTGAAATATATTTTTTTAAATTAAAATTTCATCAATTCTCTTAATGTTGATAAATTGGATATATATTGATCTCTGTAATAAATGTAACACAGACTTTTTGTAGCATATTATTTATTTGCCTTAACATTTCCAGTCTAGCAGAAAACTCCCTACAATGAATGATATGGTAGAAGGCAGTTTCTTTTATGCTACATACTGTACAACAAGCTGTGAGGCTAAAGCTTCATTCCAAAGCATATCTATTCAAATCTCCTCCATAACTTTATATAAACCCTTGAATATTTGACTGTTATTTACTAAAGGCGCAGCTCAAATGTCATCCATAAATCTACATGCAAACTATTCATAGCTTCATGGGTATTTTTTACCAATTGCCAATGTTAGATCAAACTTTAGATTTACAGTATGATTCTCCTGAAACAAAAGTAATTTTATATCCATGCATTTAGTATTCATGCTTAAGTAGAACCTCTAATCCCGTTTTTAGAATAAACCAGTAACGTTATTCCTGAAGCTTTGATCATGAACAAAATGTACCCCCTCTTTAATTCCTTGCTCACTTAACAATTTAACATATTCAGTAAATAGAGAAACGTATTGTGCTACTTTGTGCATTTAGACACCCATGTTAATGCACAAACACATTAAGCTATTTAAGAAGCAAAAGGCTAAAAACTACACAAATATTGCTAACTGAACATCATGATTTCACAAAGGTCATTCTGTCTGCATCATGACTCTTCTTAAGCTAAACATAGACGCTTGATATTTCATGGATGCTGTCACAAATATAGTACATAGATAACATTAGTATACCCTATATATATTGTAAAATTCTGAATGGAAACATGGGGACAAACTTGCATCCCCTTCCCTTGTGTAGAAAAAATTTTTGAATAATTAATAAGGTGCTGCCAATTAAGCATCATCTCAAAATATCACAAAAAAACTACAAATTATAAAATTAACTTGTTACTGTTTCAGCATTATGAAATAATTATATTTGTACTTATGCTGTTTAAGCTTTTTATACACATAGTCCAAGAGCGCATTCTCAACGAAGTAAGCCAGGCTTTACAAAGCCGGTGACCTAAAAATGGCGGCCGTACATGAAAGAAAAACCGCCTAATCTTTTAATAGTCTCTCCGCCTCCCCACACGTCGTCCCTGCGGGGTACAGTAATTAAATCTCGGCTCCGTTCGCCATGCGGAAGCTACCTGAGAAATATTAAGTGCGCATGCTCATCAGTTAAACTCGTGGTGAAGAAAGCATGGCGGCTGAAGGCGATCGAAGGAAAAAAGCTCTTCTGTTCTATTATCTTTGAAAACAGAGACGAAAAAGGAATAATTTGGCCCGTAGAGCAGCAATGAATCGACTATCTACGGAGATAATATCACCAGAGATATTCACGGAAATATTAATGTTCGGAGCCGAGATTTAATTACTGTACCCCGCAGGGACGACGTGTGGGGAGGCGTGTGAGAGGCGGAGAGACTATTAAAAGATTAGGCGGTTTTTCTTTCATGTACGTCCGCCATTTTTAGGTCACCGGCTTTGTAAAGCCTGGCTTAATTCGTTGAGAATGCGCTCCAAGTGTCTTAAGGTGCATTCATATCAAAGACAGGCCTCTCCTCTCGGTACAACCCCTCCCTGTGTCTGACTAATAAGATACTCATCATAACAAGCAATTACCAGTACCAGCAAGTGGATTTTCCTTGCTCCCCACAGTTATTAGTACTGAGACCAAAACTGTGAATGTGAATGAGTTTAGTTTCTTTAAAAAAAATAGTGCACTGTACAAGAGTGCTATATCCAGAAATGCAGACCCATCTTTCCAGTTAACCTATCTTTAAATAATCATATGTAAAGACACATTAACATGTAGAATGAACAAATGTAGCTGCTGCTGGTTATTTGATTGATGTGTCCTTACAAATTAATTACTAATGATGAATAATGAGTGTGGTGACACTTTGGTGTATATATTGTCTTTATCTAAATAAAGAGATGATGTGTAAATAAATTTTCATTAAAATTCACCAATGAAAAGAAGTAAATCTTATCCTAAATTTACACGGATCTTCATTACACTTCCATTTACATCGCAGAGTAAACTCACATATAAATGTCACAAAAAGTACAACACACAAACATATACACACACTACCACACACATATATAATTAATGATCTTACTTCCTATGAAATTGTGTTAATGATTCAGGTTGTCTAAAATTATCCCATAATGTGAATCGAGACACTTTTGAGATTTATAAATGATAGATTCCAGACCCAGTAAACAAAAACCAATACTTACCAACAGTGTAAAACGCAGCATACCCCCTTTATTTCCCATTTTCTCCTTCAAAATCTGAGTCACAAATCCATGGTACTTGCCCAATTTCTAACCGGGAAGTTGGCAAGGCAGTCAAGCATGTGAAATTGACAAGATGGCGAGAATCACGTTACAATCGCCGACACCTGTTGAAAGTAATAACTGATATGTTGGCTACTTTTGGCCTATTCAAGAGGGAAAACACCTCCACACACCTGCAGGGTGATCACGCGTTATATATTACCAGAAAAATATTTCTAATTGTCAACATGAGTTTAAATTTTGTTGCTAAACTTATTGTTGATATTCGGCTTCCAACGACCTAGTTAACTGGCTGACGTCACAGGTCAATTCAAATCGAGACTGGTAGCTTCCAAATGCTTACCTGTGGTCTCACCTGTCAATTAACATTTTATGCACAAAATTGCCTGGCTTAAATTTAGTGGGTTTTCTTTGCATGTGATACAAAGGGTCTTTACTAGCATCTTAAAATTATTCACATCGTTTCAATAAATATTGCTAATGAGAGAGTGCTTGTTGTTCAACTTACACTTGTACCTGTTAAGGTATCTTGATGACCACGCCCTTTCAGATGAGCAAGACGTCCACACATCTTCACATGCACACACCAGTCCTCAGCTTACTATGCATCCGAATGTTTAAAGGTGAAGGACTAAAACACTGCATGGCAAGGTTTTACAGCACATAGTGAAAATATTTCAAAATGAAATAAACAACAATACGGGTAATAATAAAAATAATAATAATTAAGTGATGCTATCATTCATTAAACATATAATTTAGTGAAACAGGGATTGTACACCACGTTTTATTGATTGCTGAATTAATTAATTAATTAATTTCACCTAAATCCCAGTGGCGTTCTTTTTAATGTTGACATCTGTATGTCTTGTACAGTTAAATTCGAATATTTAGATAAAGGGGGGGGGGGGATTTCTCCGTGAAGCGCGTCATCATTGAATCTGTAGAAGAAAAACGCAATTACAGATCTGAAAATTAGTTCATCTAACGCAGCGCGTGCAGTACTGACCGCAGCGCAGAGAAATGGGCCGTTATTATGAAAAAAAAAACGAATGGTTTCTATAACTTCAGGCTTTATTTCACAATTAAGTTTTGATCATCGTTACTTCTCTATCTTTTTGCCCAACATTTTGAAGTAATGGATTTATTACTGCTGTTCAAAATATTAAATTTTACATAAAATGAAGAGACATGGCTCGGGAGGAGACGGCACAGGATACATGAAGTTCTGGTCGGTGAGAACCACAATTGTCAGCGGTGCAGGAAATATACAGCATTATTTATTTATTTATTTATTTATTTATTATTATTTAGTTTTCTTTCTGTGTTGTTTATTACGTCCTAAAGAGCCGGGTCCAAACAATGATCCTAAGGCGCTAGAGGTTAGTTGTTCCTTTCTACTTCATTGATAGCACCCTCCGTAGTATGTGTGTTGTTCCGAGGAGGACTATCTTCTGGACTTCGTGATCGTTGATGTTTCCAGGGATTTTGTCGGTGTATTTCGCTAATCCCTTCTTCACAAGACCCAGAGCTCTAATGACCATAGGTATTGTTATGGTCTTTGTTCCCCACATTCTGTTGATCTCGATCTCCAGGTCCTTGTACTTTGACAGCTTTTCTGTTACCTTGTCAGAGGTGTTGCGTTCTGATGGTATTGCTATGTCTATAAGGGTGCATTCCTTGTTTCTCTTGTTCTTGATGACCATATCTGGTCTATTATTATTTTTTTTTTCATTTATCTATTTTTTTTTTACTAAATCCCACTAGCAGTCCATTAACTATTACCAGAATTTATCTATTTGAAGGAAATTAAAGGATTAAACCTTCGGCTGTGATGTTCGTTTGATTTCTGTCAGGTTTGGCAGCTTGAAATTACCACACGTCTCTGCAGCGCCGATAAGTGGTGACCCACAGGTATCCTTAGTGTGTTGACAAGACTGGAAGTTATTTTGGGATCAACCTAAAACTAAAACAACCAAATGTTTGGCCAGTCCAAGCCCCTTCCCAAATAATAGAGGATAATCTTCAAGATAAGTGTCCAAAGGAAGCCCCTGTAAAACAAACAGGTAGCACTGTCTGTCTCTGGGGATGGAAAAATGAGACAGTAGTGAGATAGTTAGCCAGGTAATTGTACAATTAATCACTTGATGTGTATGTAATCTTAAAGGGAAAGCTAAAATAATTAAACTGCTAAAGTAAGAAAGAAATGTGAAATCCTCAACATATTTATTATTATTTAACAATATATTCTATTAATGACATGTAGTTCTAACTGAAAAATATTTCATCTGCATTAAAAATATCTATTGGGTAAATGTGATTGGTGAAAGACAGCAACTTAACATTTCACAACCACCACCCCCCCACCCCCAAAAAATGAATACAAACGTGATGTGTAAATCAATTTTTGAATTTCAAAACAAATTAGCGATAAACTAACAGAAGGAACAAACAAACGAAAAAACAAACGGACCCACGAAAAATCGGACATGCGGACGGTCAGAAGACTGGAAACAAACATATATAATAGCAAATCAACTGGGACAGATGATATCAATACATCTATACACCGAGGATTGAGGTTTGATGATCACCATATGTTTCGTTTTCTTGTGACATACAATGCAGTTGGTCAAACTTTATTGATAGTTTATCTGGGTAAGGGGAATTCTCACACCAAGAACTGGTCAATTGCAACCCATCTCTCCGTTCATTAAAAACCCTACGGTTGCGCCGATTCTGGGCAAAATTGAATTTCCCGTCGGACTAACGAGGATCGTGTCCGTTGTGTAAACTCGGGGTAGCTTCATTGTATTGACACAAGACAGGGATAATATCTTACGGTCAGTAATTTTTGATTTTCTGTCATACAGTTTACGTCGTGTATATAGATAGACGTTTACAAATGCATTCCTTATGATCTGTTACTAGATACGTAAGCACGAAACCCCTATGTCCGGTGTTTGAGTTTTCGCTTAGTCTGTCGATATTGAAATTAATTTATCAAGCTGTCGACAGTTTAAGGCATTAATCAAAACCAAGAACTGGTAAACTAATCAAGTATTACATCACATACCTGTCAGAGACATATATATTTGAGTAGAAATCAACTTTTGCCGGTTAGATTTCCAGAGAAGTTCCAAACATATTGCTAACTTTTTGCATCCCACTATGAAAAGTTTTGAAAATTTGTTGTTCGTGGTTTTTGTGGTTGGGAGTATTTCTGCCATGCCACAGATTGGTACCAGAAATGACGCCAACACGGACTCGGAGTTACAGCAACTTAAAGGAAGAATAGAGAATCTGTATAGCGTCGTCAGTCAACTGGAAATGAAGGTACTGAGTGTCGGGACAACTCAGCCAGGTAATTGTACAATTAATCACTTGATGTTTATGTAATCTTAAAGGGAAAGCTAAAATAACTAAACTGCTAAAATATCATTATTAAAAAGTGTTCATTAAACATTTAATATGTCTCAGTCAAAATATTTTTAGTTTTGCGCATTCACAGGCAATGTGATCTAAAAAAATGAATGCGTTGTACAAGGCTTTAAATGCAAAACTGTCATTAGTGCTCAAAACAACAGCGATTAAAAACAGGCGCATGGGAAGATTTTTTGGCCCACGTTTCGCCTAAAATTTTATTGTAATGTCTTAAAGTTAAAATAATGTGTCCAGCATCTTGCTGTTTATCAAACACTGTACGTAAGCTATAATGCTTTTCTGATTTTTAAATATCTTTTCAATAAATAGCTTCTTTAACTTTCAGTGACTTGCCCGAAAGGATATACAGAATTTCAGGGATCTTGCTACATGTTTGTGAATACTTTGATGAACTGGGCTGATGCGCAGAGAAATTGCCAAGCGTCCAACGGCAACCTTGTGAGCATCCAAAGTGCTGCCGAGCAGGATTTTCTCACCAGCTACGCCCTTGCAAATAGTGGTAAGAAAACAGTTTTAAAGGGATGTTATTAATGAGATATTCCCAAAAAATCGATCTTTTTTAAGGAAATCATTTCTGTTTTTTCCTTTTGGATAATTTGCAAACGCACCTTAACTTACAATATTTCCTATTTCTTAAAAAAGAAATGCTCACTTGAAAAAAAGACTAAGTGGTTATATCAGAGAATATGAATTGAAATTAAGATAAAATAAAACTAAATGGATAATGTATAAAAATTTCATTAGCTATGTGTTTTAGACAAACCAGTAAAGCTTCATTTGTCAATAGCTATAGAAAAAATTACTGACATTTATACCTCCGGCTGCTGGTAGTCAGAAGGCTGTGACAAGTATTACAACCTATCACCCATCAGGTGTACTGGCTACTCATGTGCCCCGCTCTTCTGCTCGCCCCCCTCCCTGCGGAGCGGAAGATAGAGGTTGGATATCTCAGTCCCGTCATTTCTCTTGAGTTTTGCACCGTGCAACCTGTTGTTAAAAAACTTGTCTTTTCATGCTCTGACAGTGTGGTGAATCATACTGGAGAGACTGGTTGATCCCTAATAGAGAGAATGTCAGAGCCTGAAAAATCGATCCAAAAATGTGACCAAAATCTGCTCTCAGCACGCATCAATTAAAAAAAAAAAAAAGAGGACCGCAATGTACTAACATCAAACATAACAGAAAACATCAAAATAATGGAAAAGGAAAACCGTTACTCCCACTGCAAGCTATTAACACTGATACAATTAACATAAGGCTGCACGGGGCAAAACTCAATGGAAATGATAGGACTGAGTGCACTTCCCTGATGTCAGGAAACGAAATATTGGTTGGTGAATATCAGTTTATCTTTTCTATAGCTTTTGAGAAATGAAACTTACTTGGCTTAAATGGATAAAATAGAAAAGACCCTTTTTAAATTTTTTTCACATAATCTATCGTTGCAAATTATTTTTGTTACGTTTCTTATGACATGCAGCACAATTTCCGGGAAATGGATTCTGGACGGGTGGATTTGACCAAGGCGCAAAAGGGTTGTTCAAATGGGTGGCGAACAACAAACTCTACCAGACTGACGGAGGTAAGAGTCTGAGTCTTTGGACCCTTAGTGAGTAGGTTCCCGTTTCTTTGAACCGTATTTTTTGAAATGGTAGAGATTCAGAAGATTACAAAATTTAACTCGTATTTGAAGTATTTTCTCATGAAACTATTTTTCAGATTTCCTTGGATGGGATTACTTCGATGGTGGTCATGCACAAGGAGGTCAAGACTGCATGGCTTTGTGGAAATCGCGTGGATACCTGTGGCACGACTATGAATGCCACGGGAAGGTGCACTCCATCTGTGAAATAAATGAACTGTGAACATAAAGACAGCAGAAATGTTCGGCAATATTATTAGGGGTTACCATTTCTTTGCTTGCCTTGACGAATAAAATAATGAAATCATTGTTATGTGTACTACTTTTATGTTTGTGATTTTAGATAAGTTAGAAAGATAAATGCAGCTTCTTAAAAATTTCCGTATATCCAGAGTAAGTAATTTTTACCGTTGTCCTGTGCACATCACCCGCCTGCTTTCACCGATCGCGAAAGTCTTTTGAACTCAGGATGTCATATTCTCAGTGCACGTTGAGTGAGCTAAGATTTACAGAGGTTTGGAGAATATGTTCCAGTTTAATAAATCGAGTAAGCATTAATGTTGTTTATAGTTTTTTCTGTGCTTTATTTGAAATAATAGGGGAACGTCCGTGAGTATCTTTTCTTTTCTGATCAAGGTAAAACTGAGAAAAAACACTAATGTAATAACTAAACAAGATACAATTGAGGATGCCATTATCGTTCAATGCATGTATTGGGTCGAGATGACGTTTATGCATTTCAACCCCGTGAATTGCCATACAGTGACACGTGCTGTTTGTGCATAAGGGAACAATGAAATCCCAATATTAATGGATCTTCTAATTTGTTTTCCCGTTATCTTTTTAATGTAAAATTATGTTACTGATATCAGTATTGCAATTCAAATAAATTCTTTGTGGATTTTTT